GGAGTGAGGGGAATAAAAGCCTTGTATGGTGCACTGCTGCAGTTCCAATAGAAACAAATGTAAAATAGTCAGATTAATCTTCAGCTTGAATATAATAAGTAACAAGGCATTTTACAGAAACTAGGTTGACTGTCTGTTCTGTTATGTGCGCCACTCTTGGATTGTCTGTTTTACCTGGTTTTAATTTCCACCATGTTCATGACTCTTTCCTGTACTAATGTGAGAAGTTGAACAATGGTGAAGCTTGTGCAGCATGTAAGCATGAAAAAATACAAAATCATGTAAAAGTACCCAATCAAATGTTGAGCATCACTTTGTGTTAGTTACATCTGTTGGTTATGTAATTGCATCACTGTGAACCACTCATTATTATTATTATTATTATTATTATTATTATTATTATTATTATTATTAGCCTGTCAGCTTTGATAAAGTCAGAGGGGTTTTGTTGTAGCCCTTAAGAAACACAACACTCATACAGAATTACCAGTTTTCATACTAAATGCTAGTTCCTGCTAATTCCTGTTCTCTCTGAATTTATAATAATATGCCATTTAGCAGACGCTTTTATCCGAAGCGACTTACAGTCATGTGTGCATACATTTTTACGTATGGGTGGTCCCGGGGATCGAACACACTACCCTTGCGTTACAAGCGCCATGCTCTACCAATTGAGCTACAGAGGACCATTCAGCTCAGGTCAAACCGGTGGAACGATGAGGTGACGGCAGCCTAGATTTAATGTAGAGAGAATGAAGGTTTAATTCTGACAGAGATAATGATATACTTTATTGTCCCCAAGGGAGATATTTACCTAGAGTACTGCCGCTTCCACATAATACATAGAATCAATTGAGAATTAACACCCCATCATACCCCCCCCCCATCCACACAAAAAGTTTGTAAGTCAATGCCAGGCAAGGCTGTGACTAGGTGGCAGTTCCAAATGATGAAGGCCTACAGTCCGTTATTGCCATCTGCCTCGTCTGCCTCTGTCTCACCTGCTGTTAAGCAGATTCATTGACAGGGCTTTATTTCTGTTCAGCCTCCTCAGTGGCATCAGCTGGAACTCTGTGTTCAGTGCATGAGTGGGGTCCGATATGACCTTTCTGGCCTGCCTGATGATGGTCTCCTCAAAAATGTCCTGGAGAGAGGAGGGAAGTGTCATGCCTATAATCTTCCCTGCTGTCTTGGTCAGTCTCAAGATTTGGGCTTTGAGCTGCACTGTCAGGTTATCAAACCATGTAACAATGCCGTAGCGTAGGATTTACTCAATGGTGGATCTATAAAAGAGGAGCATGATCTTCTGGTTGACTCCATAGACCCTGAGTCGACACAGGAAGTGCAAGCACTGTTGGATGCGTGAGCTCTTGCTCCACATGTGTGCGCCAGCACAGCCCACTGTCAATGTGGACCCCCAGGTACTTGAATGAGATCACCGGCTCATTGTTCTCTCCGTGTACCACTATGGGGCTGTGGTCCCCAATGGACGTAGGGTCAAGGATCATCTCCTCAGTATTTTTCACATTCAGTTGTAGGTGATGTTCATCACATCATCTGACAAATCCTTCAGTCTCTGTCCTGTAGCCGTTGGCGTCATAGCGTTTGTTTAAGAGCCCGAGGACAGCGGTGTCGTCCGAGAACTTAATGACGTAGTTGTTTGGGTGCCTGCTGACGCAGTCGTTTGTATACAGCGTGAAGAGGATAGGGGAACTCACGCAGTCCTGGGGCGCCCCCGTGCTGATGGTCAGGGCATCAGAGAGTGTAGAGGTAATTCTGATTTGCTGCATCCTGTTGGGAAGGAAGGAGTGGTACCACCTTATTGTGAATGGGTTCACATTCATCTGTTTCAGCTTCTCCAGTAGGAAATGCACTTTGATTGTAATAAAGGCGAAGCTGAAGTCAATGAATGTGAGTCTTGCATATGCTACTGGGCATTCAAGGTGTTTTACATTTACATTTACGTCATTTAGCAGACGCTCTTATCCAGAGCGACTTACAAATTGGAGCGTTCACCTTATGATAGCCAGTGGGACAACCACTTTACCTTTTTTGTTTTTATTCTAATTTTTTAATTCTTGAGTATATTTTTAATTTTCATATGTTTTTTATATATATATATATATATATATATATATATATATATATATATATATATATATATATATATATTTTTTTTTTAATGTTTTTTTTCAGTTTTTTAAATTTTTAAATTTTTTAGTATATTTTTAATTTATGTTAGTTCATTTTTTTAAAACAAAATTTGTGGGGGTGGGGTAGGGGGGGGGGGGTAGAAGGATTACTTTTATACTATCCCAGGTATTCCTTAAAGAGGTAGGGTTTTAGGATAAGATGCATTATTGTGCTAATAGTGCCATCCGTGTCCCTCTCCTCCTTGTATGCAAACTGATAGGGATCTAGGAATTGTTGAACATCAGTGTGTAGGTTTCCAACCATGATTTTCTCTTAAGGACTTCATCACTATGGATGTGAGCGCGCATGCTCTTAAAAACACTTGTGACAACACTTTGTAGAAAAATCGGACATAAAATAGATTATAAAAGTCATTAAGTTTGTTTGCTTTGTCAAGTTCATTAGGTGCATACACTGATTTCTTAGCAGAGCTCATGTTTGATATCACTCTAATAGAGTCCCATAGTTTCTTAGAGTTCATTGTGAGGAAGTTCTGCTCCACACACTTCATATGTTCTTTCTGTGCCTCCTTCAGTTTACTATTCAGCTCGTTTTGGGTCACCCTCAACTCTAAGTTGTCTGTGTTTTGGAATGCTCACTTTCTGTTAATGCAGTATTGAACTTATTTTGTGATGACACAGACATCCGAGCTCCTGCCCTCAGATGTAGCTTGGATGTCATCCTGATTATGTTGGCCCTGGTCATAAAAGACTCCCCACACACAGTCAAACTGTCCTATTACCCCAGCCAGGGCCGTGCACAGACCTTTTGGGGGGCATGTGCAAAAAAAAAGGGCATCCCCTAACCCTAACTGGTACTTGTATAGAGCCTTATTATTGTTATTTATTGTGTTACTATTTTCTATTTTTATTTGCTAATTCTTACTTTTTAACTCTGCATTGTTGGAAAATGGCTTGCAAGTAAACATTTCACGTTAAAGTCTACACCCATTGTATTCGGCACATGTGACAAATAACATTTAGTTTTATTTGCTCCCTACCACCTGTCAGAATAATGCATTTTATGTCTATCTTGTTTTAGGATTCACAGACTGTCAGCATGCAGCCCAAGTTACTAACCACTTTTGGAGCAAACTAGTGCTCTCAAATTGTATCGTGATGTCGACAGCAGATGAGTTGTATTCATAATATGGCTAACTTAGGTAGCTAACATAAAAAAATATATATATACAGTATATATATTAACTAGGGTTAGCAACGTTGGGTGGTCAATAGATTGAGAGCTAGCTAACCAGCTTAGATAGCAAACAATTAATAAAAAAAAAGCAGTAAACAGTAGCGTTGTTTTATGTAGAATGTTGTCAGCAAAATTAGGTTGCTGTTACTCTCTATTGCTGAATGCAGCCTTTTGACAGCATGTACTAAAATCGATTTAATCCACCTTCGTTTTGGTGATTGGCGTTTAGGCTGTGACAACGAATAGGCAGCAGACAGACCTACAGTATGTTTTAGCAGGGAAGTTTGGTAGGGTGACCTGATTTGTAACTATGAAAATAATTTTGTCAAACAGATTGTGAACCCTAAAGTGTACGTTTTATTCTAGGGGGACGACGACGACAATAAATAGACAAATCATTTGCTTAGGGTGTAAGGGCAGATTTATGTCATCTTGTCTTCAGGAGATTGTATTACTTATTTACTTTATTTAGTCGGATCAGTGGAACAACTCTCATTCTTAACAATGGGCTAAAATATAGGGTAATTACTGTGCTTGTCAGCAAGAACACTACTGTTATTCCCCACACATTTTATTATTCCACTTCCCTATTTTGCTAGTGTAATCACATATTTGAAATCTGATATGGACTTTGAAAATGATTTATATGAGGCTATGTATTTTTGCAGCCATTCATGGACCGTTTTGAATAAGTCATACAAATAAGCATTGGATATTAAATTCTCTATAATTCAAATATAATGTTTGACATTTTAGTATTGTGCACATGCTAGGCAGAGATGGTAGGGGTACTCACAATTCATAAACACATAATATTTTGTCTATGTAGAGTAAGATGATGATCTTCAACTAGTAGGAATAAACCACCTGAATATTAAGATTCATTTGATTTTTCTTGAAGGTTGGGTGATTTTTGAGAAATGTGTTGTTATAACAATAACATTTTCAAACACCCAGCACTTCAGGGTAGGCCAACCCTCCTGTAGAGCAAGCAGGATTTTCTTCCAGCCCTATTTTAAAGAGAGAGTTCACCCAAATTACAAAATGTTTGTGTCCTTACCTTGAAAGCAGTCTATGGACAAGGAGGCTGCAATCTATGATTTGGTTACCCACTGCCATCAACCATTAATATTACAATTTTACTTAAAATTTCACCCCCCAAAAATCTCAAAGTAACAAAGTCGTCGAATTTGGAGTGTTTATTTAATGTTTAAAGCATCCTGAATACACCTGACCTGAGTGGTTGAAATGATAATTTTTTCCATCCTGGTCATACATCTAAGTCATGTCAAAATATGTAGAATTGCAGGGAATTAACTTTAAAACAGTAACATTTTCCATCTAGGGCAATGAAATTCACATAGCAAATCTCATTCCAAGCTTTCTTCAAAAATTGGCAGCCATGAAAATGTTATTGAAAAAACAGAGATGATGGTTAATCTAATCTCATTAGGCTACAGCACATGACATATGTCATGCCGCAAATAATGAGTTTACCTTACCTGACCCACAGCATGCAGGCCTGAACCTCCCTGCCCATCAGAACAACAGGTAGGCCTATTTTGATTGCCCATTTTGAAACATGACTTAAATTTCAAACAATTATAACCATGCACCAGACTGGTAGTTTCCATATTGTTTCTACAATTTGCTAATTAAAGCAATTTCCTCATATTTGTTTCACAGTTTTAATAAGGACATCATGATGAAAATATAGCCTAGATATGCTCTCTTATTACAAATACACACTACTTCACAGCCCAGTACTATCAGCAATGTATTGGAAATAATGTCAGGAGAAATGTTGCCAAGGCCTCTCTCTACACTGGCATAGTATCACCAGACGAGTTTAGTGATTAGCTGAAAGATGTTCAAATCGCCCCCACTACACGGATGTGAACATTGCATGATGTGTGGGATCATTGGGCTCCTATTTCCTTTGGTTCTGTCATGTGATTGTCCTGGATAAATCCACTGCACTTATATTTATAAAAGAGAACATTTATTGTTATATTTAAATAGTTCAGTTAACACTTTTGTCTTTAGGCATCTTGTACATCTTGTACTCCTGAGTGGCGCAGTGGTCTAAGGCACTGCATCGCAGTGCTAACTGTGCCACTAGAGATCCTGGTTTGAATCCAGGCTCTGTCGCCGCCGGCCGCGACCGGGAGACTCATGGGCGGCGCACAATTGGTCCAGGGTAGGGGAGGGAATGGCCGGCAGGGATGTAGCTCAGTTGATAGAGCATGGCGTTTGCAACACCAGGGTTGTGGGTTCGATTCCCACGGGGGGGCAGTATAAAAAAATATGTATTCACTAACTGTAAGTCGCTCTGGATAAGAGCGTCTGCTAAATGACTAAAATGTAAATGTACAACTTAATGTTGTTTGCATTGACCAACTTGTTTGCTATGGTGAGTGAGACTGAGTGCAACAGCTGCTGAGATACATAAACATTTCAGGAAATATGTTTTCTTGCAAAACATCCAACCTTGAAGCTGTGGTCCTTTTGGCAGTGACCTTAGTCAGAGCAGAATGGACTGAGGCTCTCTTTATAGGGATGCTGAGGCAGGCTGCACCTTGCTGTACTGCCAATAATGTTCGTTCTGGAATGGAGGCAATGACAAATACTGCACAGATAAGCGCCATTACCAGCAACTCAGCCAGCGAAAAACAAATGTATGTTTGAGGTGATGGATGGCAGGGGGATGCATGCACGGTTTTGTAGCTGAGGCAAATGCTGATGAGGCAAGATGGGCCCATCTCTCACAGATGCTGACATCTTGCCCTGTGTGCAAGATCTGAATTCCACCAATCATTTTTGCCATTTGACTGTCTGTCTCTCCCTTCCTGGCCATGTCTTTCCACCTGGCCATCTCCATCCCTGTCTGAATGATTAGGGTAGGATACAGTTCTGATTCACTACTAGAGGAAATCAGCCTGCAGTTTGGCAGAGAGTTGACCGACAGTCACATTGCTGTAGGTGGAGCCTGTCTGTATTCGGGCAGTCCTTTGGGGTGTAATCCCAGTGTGGCAGTGCGCTCCGTCCTCGTCAGAGTGCAGACACGCCCTGTGGCTTTCTGGCTGTCCGTTTGAGACACTCATGTCCTTGTTGTTTCTCTGGGATGTGGATCCAAATGGGTCTTTCTGTTCAGGCTGGGGGCTGCCCCTGCAGATCCTATTGCGGAACGTGGATGTGTCTCGACAAAGACACTTGCGGAAGTTTGGTTTGCAAAGCAGGTAGACCATAGGATTGTAGATGGTGGACGATTTGGCAAAGATGGCCGCCAGGGCGAATGCAGTAGGAGGCACCAGGGTGGCGTCACCAAATGCCGCCCACATGGCCACTATGGCGTAAGGGCTCCATGCACCCAGGAAGCCGATGCATACTGCTACCGACAACTGTTGAAAAACACACACACACACAATATATATAAATAGGCATAAATATTCAATATCTCTTTACTTAAAGTCTGCAGGTATAAGGCTTTTTAACTTTGGCACAGACCCTGCAAACTATACAAGCCTAACCACACACAAAGTTACATAATCCCTGAGCTGCTGTTGTTGTGAACTGGATTGCTGACACAGGGATACTGTCTGACCTTGACGATGAGGGCGTGTGCGTTGGTGGTCTTGGTCTGGGGCGACACATGCTGCTGGACGGCCTGGTGAGAACTGCGCACCGTCAGCAGGATGAAGGTGTAGGAGAGGAAGATGACGGTGCAGGGCAGAGCGTAGCAGAAGAGGAACAGGCAGACAATGTAGGACATGGCAGACAGCTTGTAGTTTGGTACGTTCCAGTCAATGCAGCAGGCAGTGCCATAAGGCTCTGCATTGTAGTGTCCCCAATGTGCCAGGGGACCGATGGCGAACACAGAGGCATAACACCACACAACCACCACCAGGAAGCAGGCATTGGATGAGGAGAACTTGTTACCTGGGGATGGAAAATGGGACAAAGGGGAAAAGGAAGGAGGAGAAATGTGCATTTTGACATGAGATAAAATAGGGCTTTATTAATCTCCAAAGCGCACATTAGATTGCATCAGTTTTAAGACTACTTCACCATCTCAGAGATTAATGTACAGTAAAAAATAAAGGTTTGATTATAGCCGATTTGAAATCTAACTCACCATAGTTAGAGAAGCAGACTTTGAGGCAGCAGACAAAGGAGAGAGCTGTGAGGTTGGTCAGGCTGCACAGGCCAAACAGAACCCCACACATAGCATAAAACTGACAGGTGATCTCATCAAACAGCCACCTACACAGTGGGGAGAGATCATAAGAGAGTTAAACAGAAGAAAGTTTTCACTAAAATATTCAGTCACTGTCATTGCAACACAGAATAACAGTGAGATCTCGAGAATGCCCTAGGGTTTTTTTGTTCCATGAGCCAGAAGAGAGAAAGAATATCAAATACTTGTGAGCGAATGATGAGGGAATGGCCAGAGGGAATAAAGACAGGGTCATCCCAAGGTCGCTGATGGACAGGTTAATGATGAAGAACTCGGCAGGCTTCAAGGACAATCGCTTACGATACGCAACAAGCAGCAAGATGCCATTCCCCAGGAGAGACAGAACACCTAGAAGAGAAAGACTGAAATATGAGGAAAAAAAGAGGACAACTGCAGTGCATGCGGAAAGTATTCAGACCCCTTGACTTTTTCCACATTTTGTTACGTTACAGCCTTATTCTAAAATGGATTAAAAAAAAAAATATCCTCAATCTACACACAATACCCCATAATGACAAAGAAAAAACAGGTTTTTTGACATTTTTGCAAATTTATAAAAAGAAAACCCTGAAATATTACATTTACATAATTATTCAGACCCTTTACTCAGTGCTTTGTTGAAGCACCTTTGGCAGCGATTACAGCCTCGAGTCTTCTTGGTTATGACGCTACAAGCTTGGCTCACCTGTATTTGGGGAGTTTCTTCCATTCTTCTCTGCAGATCCTTTCAAGCTCTGCCAGGTTGGATGGGGAGCGTCGCTTCACAGCTATTTTCAGGTCTCTCCAGAGATGTTAGATTGGGTTCAAGTGGCTGGGCCGCTCAAGGACATTGAGACTTGTCCCGAAGCCACTCCTGTGTTGTCATGTTGGAAGGTGAACCTTCGCCCCAGTCTTTGGTCCTGAGATCTCTGGAGCAGGTTTTCATCAAGGATCTCTCTGTACTTTGCTACGTTCATCTTTCCCTCGATCCTGACTAGTCTCCCAGTCCCTGCCACTGAAAAACATCCCCACAGCATGATGCTGCCACCACCATGCTTCACCGTAGGGATGGTGCCAGGTTTCCACCAGATGTGACGCTTGGCATTCAGGCCAAAGAGTTCAATCTTGGTTTCATCAGACCAGAGTATCTTGTTTCTCATGATCTGAGAGTCCTTTAGGTGCCTTTTGGCAAACTCCAAGTGAGCTGTCATGTGCCTTTTACTGAGGAGTGGCTTCTGTCTGGCTACTCTACCATAAAGGCCTGATTGGTGGAGTACTGCAGAGATGGTTGTCCTTCTGTAAGGTTCTCCCATCGCCACAGACGGTAGTTCTAAACTTCTTCCATATAAGAGTGATGGAGGCCACTGTGTTCTTGGGGACCTTCATGCTGCAGGCATCTTTTGGTACCCTTCCCCAGATCTGTGCCTCGACACAATCCTGTCTCGGAGCTCTACGGACAATTCCTTCAACCTCATGGCTTGGTTTTTGCTCTGACATGCACTGTCAACTGTGGGACCTTAAATAGACAGACAGGTCTGCCTTTCCAAATCATGTCCAATCAATTGAATTTACCACAGTTGGACTCCAATCAAGTTGTAGAAACATCTCAAGAATGATAAATGGAAACAGGATGCACCTGAGCTCAATTTCGAGTCTCATAGCAAAGGGTCTGAATACGTAAGTAAGGTATTTTTGTTTCTTATTTTTAATAAGTTTGCAAACATTTCTAAAAACCTGTTTTGCCTTGTCTTTATGGAGTATTGTGTGTAGATTGATGAGGGAAAAAAATTACTGAATACATTTTAGAATAAGGCTGTAACGTAACAAAATGTGCAAAAGGGGAAGGGGTCTAAATACTTTCCGAATGCACTGTAAATAAAGTCATAAACATAGAGGAAGAATTAAGAATATGTCAAATCAGGGGTATACATCCAGGCATAAAATCATACAGTACTCTAAGAATGGATGAGGGTAAATGCCTTGAAAATGCCTTGAATCTTCTATTTGATCTGTATGTGGCAGTGACTGACTCCCCTTAGCTGGAATCAGATTTACTCAAATGTAAGGACTTGTGATTGGATCAACAGTGAGTAAATATGACCCATTGGCAGGGAATATGAACTCACAGAATATGCTGTAGAGCATGCCCATGAGGAAGTCAAGCTCCTTTGAGATTGTGGAGACAAACAGGGTTGTGTCTGAAGCATTTCCCATCTGCAGAGGACAGAGGAGAGTAACGGTTAGTCAGAGAACAGCAGTGCAGTTGATTGTTAATTATGTAATTACGTAATATTTGTTAGCGTTAATTAATGCAAATAGTCTGGGTAGCCATTTGATTAGATGTTCAGGAGTCTTATGGCTTGGGGGTAGAAGCTGTTTAGAAGCCTCTTGGACCTAGACTTGGCACTTCGGTACCGCTTGCCGTGCGGTAGCAGAGAGAACAGTCTTTGACAATTTTTAGGGCCTTTCTCTGACACCACCTGGTATAGAGGTCCTGGATGGCAGGAAGCTTGGCCCCAGTGATGTACTGGGCCGTACGCACTACCCTCTGTAGTGCCTTGCGGTCGGAGGCCGAGCAGTTGCCATACCAGGCAGTGATGCAACCAGTCAGGATGCTCTCGATGGTGCAGCTGTAGAACCTTTTGAGGATCTGAGGACCCATGCCAAATCTTTTCAGTCTCCTTAGGGGGAATAGGTTTTGTCGTGCCCTCTTCACGACTGTCTTGGTGTGCTTGGACCATGTTAGTTTGTTGGTGATCTGCTCCACTACAGCCACAAGTTCTCTCTAAATCATCTCATTTAATAATCAGTGAATGTGTGACAAGGGAAACATCAGAGGGGAAACAAACAGATAACGGAAGTGAGAAAGTAGTCTAGCAACAAAGGCTTCCCTACACTATTTGTTGTTGTTGTTAGCCCTACAGTTGTCTGCTTTTGATAAACAACAAAATGGAAAATATATTAATTGAAAATACATCGAATTTAAAAGAATGAATTGGCCTAACATATTTTTTCAAAAGGGCACTACTTTCTAGTTAATCTTATTTCATTACTCCAGAGAGACAAATAGAAGCCAAATCACACCATTGAAAACGTTGCACCATACATGTCCTTACAATAAATCTATTTGCAGAGACCCAAATTGTGCCAAGATTTGGGACTGTGGTTATGTAGAGAGCTGTGTTGAGCACTGAATCAAGACACTGCCTGTACTTTTGCTAAGAGTTTGAATGTGTGCTCTTCACCCAGCAGCTGTTGGTTTGTATGTTGGAGTAGATGTGTTAAGGAGGCTGTATTATTATGTTTTATGCTGCAGTTTCTGCAGAGTGGATGGCATATACTATAGGAGAAGTGTTGTTAGATAAAGACCAAGATTTTGTGATAAAGACACATTTGAAGTGGTATAAAGGCACAATAGAGGGAAATATAGTTGGAGAGATTGAACGTTTCACAGCAGATATGGTGGCACTCAAAAATGAATGCCCAAAAAGTCTGATTATCTTACTGAACCCAAATATCCCACAGAGAAGATTAGTCATGAGAGAGAGACAGAGAGGGAGATAAATGGGAGCTTAAAGTTGCTCCAGAGAGTGTTGAGCAGATAGAAAAAAATAAATGTGTATTATCTCAGATAGTGAGACTTTTCTATCTCTCTCGCACACACACTACACACACACACTACATACTACAAACTACACACACACTGATGCTATATGATAAGCAGAGGTTGTTGGATATGTCTGTGACAGTTGATGTGAGGGATGTTGGAGGAGCCTGGCAGTCCCTCTGCTAACAAAGCCTGACTAGCTACAGTATTATATCAGAGACGCACATGTTCCCTGTTATGAGTCATGCAGAGGAGCTGGACAGAGCCAGTTCAGAGACCCTAGCTGTCCACATGGAAATGCTTCCTGCTGAGGAATTCAGTGTGTATTATGCAGACAGAGGAAAGCTAAATAAAACATAAAATGAAAGCCAGGAAATAGTCAAAACACAAAGGGCCTTGAGCACCAGTAATGTGTTCTGAATGGGCCTCCCAGTCCCCCAGAGGCTCTAATCTCCCTAGACATTCATGGCCCTCAAGCATCCATCCTTATGTAGGTTCCCAAGTGTGCTTGTTTTTCTAGTCCATATTTAGTAACCAAATGAATAAGGATTTATTGCCTATCTGTTTTTTTTATCTATAAACAAATGATTAACAGTTTATAAGCTACTTATAAACCCTTTATAAAGTATACCCTAATGTAAAGTGTTCCCAATGTGTTTGCATGATGATGAGGGTGTAAGTGTGAGACAAGCCAAGTGTGTTGCATCTTATGTGCAGCAATGCATTGCACATTACAGTATGGTTCTATATGCAACCCAACACAGTCATCAAACTGAATCTGCTACCTCATTTGACGTGCCCAGTCTGACAGACAGCAGAATCAATGGGGAACTTTGTTAAAAATAAACATTTAGGTCACCGTTCATTGTCATATAGGGAGAGTCCTTGAACCTGTAGCCTTGCTCCAATCAGTATTTCAATACCTTACTCAGCAAGACATAGTTCTAGCACCACAACTCCAGGAAATATTAATAATGTATTACATCGGTGCTTTAGAAGCAAGGCTATATAACGTAGTGATTCTCAGTAATTGAGTCTGGTTGGAAGAGCACCACAGAACTCATTACTCCTTGCATTTCCCCTTGACCTGAATATCAATTTCCAATAGACTGACTTGTCATTATGTTTCACATGATTACATAACAACCCTATCCGATATATTCAGGTACATGTGGGTAACAATGTTACATGTATGCTTGACAGACTTTAGCAAATGGGTTGGTTGTCTGAATGTACTGATCATGTCATGACAGCACATGGAACTGTGTATGTTTAATGTACCTCAGTCATATTTCACTTGGGTACTTGAGCCAGGTGTAAATTTACATTTACATTTTAGTCATTTAGCAGACGCTCTTATCCAGAGCGACTTACAGGAGCAATTAGGGTTAAGTGCCTTGCTTAAGGGCACATCGACAGATTTTTCACCTAGTCGGCTCGGGGATTAGAACCAGCGACCTTTCGGTTACTGGTACAATGCTCTTACCCACTAAGCTACCTGCCGCCCTGATCCGTGTCATAACCATTAACCATCTCAAACAGGTTTTCTTTATTTAAACCTCACCAAGCACCAAGAACAGTGAGTTCACATCGTTGACCTACTTAACATTCAAATTTACATACACTGTAAAATTGCAGGAAGTTAGCAGTGTCGCCCCCCCAAAAAAAAAAAGAGACTGAGGGTGTTCCTTCATTTAAGAGACAGCCAGGCTTTGCTACTCAAACAGACACCAATAACAACTCTGTTATGAACTACTTCAAAAAGACCCTGACATTAATATTTCAGATCTTGTTTTTTGATATCACGAAAACCAAACCTCTTGGTACTTTTTTAACATGTTGAATATACATTGGAAAGCTTCGTTACAGACCAATGTGTGTCATCACTTTCAAACAAACCATATTTTCCAATGACAGCTCTACAGTGGATGCCCATGTTCTGCTCACTGTGTTTTTCCCAAAGAAACGGGCATGCTCACTAGTAACAGTACATGAGTCCCAGAACATCCAGAACACCCTCCCTCAGCTGTGTGTGTGTGTCTGTGCATGTGTGAGTACAGTACATGCGTGATCGTTTGTGTGTGCATCCATGCGTGCTTGTCACCACATTAGAAAGCTGAGTTACCACTGGTTGACCGGCTGAACTGCGACGTTGCTCAACTGTGGCTAATCTGGTTTTTTGGGGACCAGCTGAACTGTGCCACAGCTAATGTGTCTTTGAGTTCAGTTGAATAGCTGCTCTGGTCGGCTCTAGTGTACTGGGTGCCCTGGATAGTGACAAACACAGACTGCGTCCCAATTGAGACCCTACTCCCTATTTAGTGCACTACTGGGCCCTGGTCAACAGTAGTGCACTATATAGGAAATATGTTGCCATTTGAGACGCAACCACAGACCCAGTTTAGATGTCCAAACTTAGATCGGCCTGCACAAATATCAGAAGTCAATGATTTACAATTGACACTACTGTGTTATTTTTCATACTGAATATATGCCTTCCTGTATCTCCCTCTGTGCATCTGTCTCTAGTCTCTACCTGTTTGAACACAGGTAGTAATAATGATGAGTGTAGGCAGTGGCGTCATGCCCATAGGGGGCACAAAGGTACGTGCCCCCTCAGATTTGTACTGTTAAAAGAAATGTCAGATGTTAATTTATTCAGATGTTAATTTATTTACTTAATTTTTAAGCCCATGTTTTATCATAATTATTTATAAAAAGATCTGTCAGCTGTATTTTGAGGCGGGGGCACACTGACTGGACCAGGCAAAGAGTACCGAATTGAAAATTGATTATTTTGTAATATTTTTTTACCCATCTACGCACACAATATCCCAGAAATGTTTTAGAAATGTTTGCTAATTTATGGAAAATTAAATATATAATTTACATAAGTATTCACACCCCTGAGTCAATACTTTGTTGCTAGACAACCATTTAAGTCAAGGAGATTTAAGTGAAAACTGTAACTAGGCCACTCAGGATCATTCAATGTCTTCTTTGTAAGCAACTGCTGAAAGGTGGATTCATCTCCCAGTGCCTCCAGGATTTAGCCTGTGCTCCATTCTGTTTCCTTTTTTATCCAGAAAAACTCTCCAGTCCTTAACGATTTCAACCATACCCATAACATGATGAAGCCACCACTATCCTTGAAAATATGGAGAGTGGTACTCAGTATTGTGTTATATTGGATTTGCCCCAAACATAACACTGTATTCAGGACAAAAAGTGTATTGCTTTGCCACATTTTTTGCAGTATTACTTTAGTGCCTTGTAAACAGGATGCATGTTTTAGAATATTTGTATACTGTACAGGCTTCCTTCTTTTCACTTTGTCAATTAGGTTAGTGTTGTGGGGTAACTACAATGTTGTTGATCCATCCACAGTTTTCTCCTACCACAGCCATTAAACTCTGTAACTGTTTTAAAGTCACCATTGGCCTCGTGGTGAAATCTCTGAGCGGTTTCCTTCCTCTCCGGCAACTGAGTTAGGAAGGACACCTATATCTTTGTAGTGACTGGGTGTATTGATACACCATCCAAAGTGTAATTAATAACTTCACCATGCTCAAAGGGATATTCAATAGGTGCCCTTCTTTGTGAGGCATTGAAAAATCTCCCTGGTCTTTGTGGTTGAATCTGTGTTTGAAATTCATTGCTCAACAGCGGGACCTTACAGGTAATTGTATGTGTGGGGTACAGAGTTGAGGTAGTCATTCAAAAACCATGTTAAACACTGTTATTGCACACAGAGTGAGTCCATGCAACTTATTATGTGACTTGTTAAGCACATTTTTACTCCTGAACTTATTTAGGCTTGCCATAACAAAGGGGTTGAATACTTATTGACTCAAGACATTTCAGCTGTTCATTTTTAATTATTATGCAAACATTTCGAAAAACATTATTATGAGAGAATGCCAAGAGTGTGCAAAGCTGGCATCAAGGCTATTTGAAGAATCTCAAATATAAAATATATTTTGATTTGTTTAACACTTTTTTGGTTACTACATAATTCCATGTGTTATTTCATAGTTTTGATGTCTTCACTATTATTCTACAATGTAGAAAATAGTAAAAATAAAGAAAAACCCTTGAATGAGTAGGTGTTCTAAAACTTTTGACCAGTAGAAAAAATCTCAATTTAATCTGTTTTAAATTCAGGCTGTAACACAATAAAATGTGGGAAAAGTCAAGGGGTGTGAATATTTTCTGAAGGCACTGTAGAATTAAGCATAATGATTATGGCTCTAGATTGCAGAAAAAAATATGTTTCAGGGGTTTGAAAAATGCAAAGACCACGCCCCCTCCATCCTCACGTACTTCGTGCCCCTTCTAAAATAATGGGTACATGACACCCCTTAGTGCAGGGACACTGAACCCTGTGATTGCATGGGCACAACAGTGTTCATCTGACTCAATTCCTCAGTTATTCTCAGTCTCTCTCTTCTGCCATGTTACTGTTGCCTTTAAAACACTTCAGTTGTTTGATTTCCAGAGACGAAGTTCCAGACACTAATGGCTGTGGTCTGGTCATGTCTGTCTGATGCTCTCCTCTTATAGTTGGCTGGATGTCAGTCAAATGTTCACACGTTCTGTGTTCCCCCTCAATTAGATTTATTTAGTCTGCGACATACTGTAGGACTCCACTTTAACTAGAAATGTCACTCATACTGTGTGATGGTCTTGACTCGTGAGATAACTGGGGGAATCAGTGCCTGTTGTAGCATGGTGGTGGCCGTGTACAGTCTGAATTAAATTTGAGGCATTTGCCGCATGAATGAGCATGTGAGCGGTGACACGATAATGCTTGCAAAGCATGCATATGAAAAAAAAGACCTTCAAACTGTGTTTCCATCAAGGCTAAATGTTATGAAAGAGCTTATCTTCAGATGGTAATCATATGATACTGTTCGCCAGGATGTCTTTCATTCTGTATGTTTTCCCTTGTAGTAGCATGGATCATTTAATTTTGGAAGCCAAAGCCAGTTATGATCACAATACAAGTGGTGCATCACATGCATGTTGTTGCATTTCCACGTTGAAGAATAAGCTATGTAAATATGTTAAACCCCATACTGTCTCACACACATGTGGCATGTTGTGTGTCACATCCCCAAAGTGGGCCTCTGGAGATTCCTTGAGGTCATGGGAGTGAGTTGAACCGCATGTGTGCTCTCCGTGTAAAAGCATCCTCCACCGACCCAGAGCTGACAAGTAAATGTCACCATAATCCTGCGGTTTCCGATGACTTGTATTTGCTGTGTATAGCCTATGCCTTGACTTAGCTGGGAATTGGTTTCTGTCAGCATATGAAACATTTAGATGCAGTAAATGTAGTTGCATTAGTCATAGTCATGAATCTAAATATGACCTGGAAATCAACCCTTTGGTTGCCAATGATGCATGTGCCTTGATGTCTCTTTCAAATTAGATAATTATAAACACATGATCTGCATGGGCTTTGAGACCTAATACCTTATCTTACCAGCCCTCAAAAACTGCCTCTTCTCATACCACTGAGTCTCTCTCTCACATTTAGGCTACATCTCACATCTCTTATTCACATCTGAATATTCTGCATGGCTTCTCCTCCACATTCGCATGTGAACTTAACGGTGAATAGCCTTGTCATCATAAATTGCATATCAAGAAAAGCAGGGGGCTTTGAAGTGCTTTCATCCTCGAAAAGCTCCTTAAAATGAAATTGCGAAAAGCTCCTTAAAATGAAATGAGCAGTGAGTTAGAAACCATTTTGCATGGAGGCAGAAATGCTCGGGCCCGCCCGGGTGTTAGAATGAGTTAGAGGAACGACAAAAAATACAAATTGGGACCTGAATGAACCTCGAAGAGACTTGAGGACCACAACAACATTACTCAATGCCATAGAGAATTGATCTGTGTACTCCCTCCACAAAGTAAATATGTTTCTACTGTAGGATTCCATTACTTTTCCTTGGTTTCTAACTGGAAGTTGATGACAACAACAATCATTTTTCCACCTGTCCCACAATATCTTTGCAGAATTCAAAATTACAGTGTTTTTCTTTCATGATTTGGTATTTTATGCATGAATATGATGGCTCAGTTTGTTGTTGTCATTTAATGTCTGAGTTTGACCACTTTGTCAGTGAAAGTCATTAAAAATAATTGGCAATATCAAAAGGTTTTGTGATGAATGAGCCTTCTGATTCAATAAAAGATGGAGTTGAATTAGTTTTTCTTAATTTCATTTAAAGTACTCCAAATTATATAAAGTATCTTTCATAATACCGTTTCTTCTTCTTTTTGTTCAGTCACATCATTTCTCAATTTACAGTAAGTTTGCCAATCAGCTGTGCAGCCAGTCTTATTAGCCACTCCTTTTGCTTCATCTCTCTCAAACACGAAATGTTTCAATACATCATCAATCCATGGAGACTTAACAGTTCTAAAAGTCAGTTTCTTAATAGGTGCATGCCTATCAATAACTGGAAGAAACAATTTAATAAATGCATCAAGTGCAGCGTCTGGATGCTCCTCATTACACACATCAGACCAAAACATATTTCTTTACATATTCAACATAGGAATCATTACAAAACGTTTTGTATGAGCTCATACACTATTTTAAGGCCCACTTCACCAACATTAGACATGAGGTCCTCTCTAAGCTTTACAGGGATATCGCTCTGAACATATACAGCAACACCTCCCCTATAAGCATTCCTGTCTCTTCTGTATATGTTATATCCTTGTATTGCTACTGCTGTATCAAAGGAATTATCTTAGTGAGTTTCAGAGATTGCCAATATATGAATGTTATCTGATGTTAGCAAATTATTGATTTCATTAACCTTATTTCTAAGGCTACATATATTAATATTGCCCTTTCCTGGGTAGCTAATCGGAGATAGACATAATATAAAGAAATTAAACGCACAAAGCATGGCAAGAACAAGTTTGGTTAATAGAGTCAGTCAATCAGGCACTTGTGAGTGTCAGTTGGTGTGTGTGTGTGAGATGTGGGACTGAAGCTACTGACCTGGAAGCTCTCTCACTCCTCCCAGTCTTTTGGGAGGGAGAGTGGGCAATGAGCCTGTCGTAGCGGATGTAAGCAAGTTCCTCTCAAGTTCTTGGCTCTCTCCAGAACAGCCATCTTGTCTTTAAACCTCAGGAACATGACCACTATCGGCCTGGGTCTGTCACCTGGGCTGGTTACAGGTTTTCCAGATCTGTGGGCACGCTCCATCCACCTCAATCTACTTATGATCCATCTGCAGCTTTTCACTGATATTTGTTCTTACTTTCTCCTCAGAGTCAGCCGAGTTCTTATGTGAAGACTCTGGTATGCCATCCACAACTATGTTATTCCTCCTGGATTGTCCCTCTAGATAGTCTGTTTTTCCATTCATTGTTAATTATGCTTCTAAGACAGTGCTGATGTCATCTCACGTGGACTTAATTTGTTGTTATCTTGCTGCAAATCTATTTCAGGAAATCCACCTCTCTCTGGGAGAACTGCAAACTGATCTTAAGGTTCTGGACCTCTCTGGTCAAATCATCAATTATTTTGTTAGTATTTGTAAAAAGCCATTGAAGCTATTTTCCCAGCAACTGAGGCTAACCGCGTCATGGGATCCAAATTCAAAAGGTAGCTAGTAACCAAACTTTTTCAATAGAACACTTTTTTTCGTGCTGAATGCGGAATGATGGTGAGCTCGGTTTGTTGTTTTAAAAGTTTTGAAATATGTAGAATCGGTTTGCAAATTACATCTGCCACTCTGTTCAGAGGTTCTAAGTACTCTCAGCCGGCAAACGCTACCAGTGTGTCCGTGCCTTAAATTAGTCAGAAACAGCCAAAACAACTACTACTCCACAAGTGTAACGGAAATAAGAACGTGCCGTAAGCTTTTTTTACAGCTAGCTTGAAATGTCACCAATGGAGCTATCGAATTTGCAGTAGAGGTGCGTGGGTAAAACCACTGGGGAAGCCAAACCAGGGGGAAAAAGCCATATTATAACCTTTGTGTTGTGATAATAGCGTTCTTTGCTCTACAGTCGTGGTCAAAAGTTTTGAGAATGACACAAATATTAATTTTCACAAAGTCTGCTGCCTCAGTTTTGATGATGGCAATTTGCATATACTCCAGAATGATCAGATGAATTGCAATTAATTGCAAAGTCCCTCTTTGCCATGAAAATGGCAAAATTTAACCCAAAAAACATTTCCACTGCATTTCAGCCCTACCACAAAAGCACCAGCTGACATCATGTCAGTGATTCTCTCGTTAACACAGGTGAGAGTGTTGATGAGGACAAGGCTGGAGATCACTCTGTCATGCTGATTGAGTTAGAATAACAGACTGGAAGCTTTAAAAGGAGGGTGCTTGAAATCATTGTTCTTCCTCTGTTAACCATGGTTACCTGCAAGGAAACATGTGCCGTCATCATTGCTTTGCACAAAAAGGGCTTCACAGGCAAGGATATTGCTGCTAGTAAGATTGCACCTAAATCAACCATTTATCAGATCATCAAGAACTTCAAGGAGAGAGGTTCAATTGTTGTGAAGAAGGCTTCAGGGCGCCCAAGAAAGTCCAGCAAGCGCCAGGACCGTCTCCTAAAGTTGATTCAGCTGTGGGATCGGGGCACCACCAGTGCAGAGCTTGCTCAGGAATGGCAGCAGACAGGTGTGAGTGCATCTGCACGCACAGTGTGGCGAAGACTTTTGGAGGATGGCCTGGTGTCAAGAAGGGCAGCGAGGAAGCCACTTCTCTCCAGGAAAAACATCAGGGACAGACTGATATTCTGCAAAAGGTACAGGGATTGGACTGCTGAGGACTGGGGTAAAGTCATTTTCTCTGATGAATCCCCTTTCCGATTGTTTGGGACATCCGGAAAAAAGCTTGTCCGGAGAAGACAAGTTGAGCGCTACCATCAGTCCTGTGTCATGCCAACAGTAAAGCATCCTGAGACCATTCATGTGTGGGGTTGCTTCTCAGCCAAGGGAGTGGGCTCACTCACAATTTTGCCTAAGAACACAACCATGAATAAAGAATGGTACCAACACATCCTCCGAGAGCAACTTCTCCCATCCATCCAAGAACAGTTTGGTGACGAACAATGCCTTTTCCAGCATGATGGAGCACCTTGCATAAGGCAAAAGTGATAACTAAGTGGCTCGGGGAACAAAACATCGACATTTTGGGTCCATGGCCAGGAAACTCCCCAGACCTTAATCCCATTGAGAACTTGTGGTCAATCCTCAAGAGGCGGGTGGACAAACAAAAACCCACAAACTCCAAGCATTGATTATGCAAGAATGTGCTGCCATCAGTCAGGATGTGGCCCAGAAGTTAATTGACAGCATGCCAGGGCGGATTGCAGAGGTCTTGAAAAAGAAGGGTCAACACTGCAAATATTGACTCTTTGCAAAAACTTAATGTAATTGTCAATAAAAGCCTTTGACACTTAAGGAATGCTTGTAATTATACTTCAGTATACCATAGTAACATCTGACAAAAATATCTAAAAGCACTGAAGCAGCAAACTTTGTGAAGACCAATACTTGTGTCCTTCTCAAAACTTTTGACCACGACTGTATAACCTGTTAGTTCATATGCCTTGCCACAATGATATATTGGCCTAAGGCCGAGACAATAAGAAGACAGTGGCAGAATAAATTCAACCACACTTTTGTTTTATCACAAAACCAGAGAGCAGTGAAGTCCACAAAGCATTTTGCATGTAACAAACCGTTACATGACCTGCAGCATGGTCAAGCAAGTTAATGTTTCCAACATTTTCAGACTACTTAACAACTATTGATTTAGAACCACAGATTGTGACCGCAAGTCGCAAAATAAACAGGAGCTGCCTCCACAACTAAAAGATACCAAAAACAATTTAGTCCAGTCAACATAAGCTAAATATGATGTGGCTGTCCATGGTTCTGATTTCTCTAGTGCGTGCGTGCAAGTACAAAAAACATGTTGACTCACCCTACTTGTAGAGAAACACCAATGCCATCCTTCTCACTTTTGTTGTCTTAGGCTACCTGGCTAAAATGCTTGCTCGCTAGCCTAACTTCCTTTCATGGGCAATGATGTGCCACCTAGTTAACATTAGCCTACTACATATTCAACTTTCATCCTTTCAGGCCAGGGGCACAATGTATGAATTTATGGTTGGATCAGAATCGCCATTATAATCATTGGCCAGTAAGGAGAATTAGGTAAAACCACAAGTCCAAATCCCTATCGTCATCCACTGCTAATTTAGGAAAAGGCCAATTTTAGCTAGCAACCGGAGGACAACACAACTTGATGCAACAATTCACGTTTTTTCTGTCAATGACATTTTGCTTTTGATGTGATTAGTGTGAAGACAAATCCAAACTGGCTTCCCTTAACAATATTTGTAATTTTTTTGGTGCGCCAGGACCATTCACAGTTGAGCACACTCAGTTTAGCTCAAAGCTGATTGGCTATTATTTTGATCAAGGTAAGCCAAATGCTCGCTGGCTTCCCTTGCATTCAATCAGAGAGGAAGAGAGAGGCCCAACTCAGCAGAACATCTGTCTCCCTCCAGCAGGTGGCATTTTGTTGTTGTTCACTCACCAAGCAAGGAGTTTTTGTATTGAGGTCAATGAGCGAGTGTCGAGTTTGGTCAACCAAAAAATGAATGGCTTACTTGCTATGTGAGGTTTATTTGATCAAATAGAATAGAGTTTCGTAATGCTTAAGTTGTTAAGAGTGTACTGATATAAGTAGGACACGTGATATCAGAGTTGAGTTGGCTATGCATATTCATGGCATGAGGCTAGTAGTATAGCGTCTCTCTCCATTGAATACAGGCGGTTGACCTCAACAACCCTTATCAAATATTTATAGAAGGATGACAACAATGAGATGTATCCACCAATCCAAAGAAAGTATAGGCGGGTCGAGCCTGGTATGGGGATGGGGACAGTGTGGGAAACTAAACTGTTAGCAGCACACTGACATTGGTTATCCTGGTTTTGTGAAGACCCGGATCCGCAGTTGGGCTCAGCTCAACAGCTGGGGTTGCTCGCTGTGTAGCGAATTTAGAAGGGGTGAGTGTAACGGAGATAAGAATGTGCCGTAAGCTCACTCCAGAGCTAGCTTGAAATGTTGCCAATTGAGTTATCGAATTGGATCCTTTTCTATAGCTCAACTGGTTTGTACATTGTCAACGAGGTGTTTGCGATCAGAGGCACACTGGTTCAAACCCAGTATTGGGACAGGGACAGTGGAGGAAACTAGCTTCTATCTTTTATCATTGACAGCCATTGTTTGGGATGATTGTGTGCTTGTTATGTGTAAAGGCTCCTTATCTTAACATAACAACAAAGCAGGATCAATTAGATAGCTAAGTAACTTTGATAAACATTCAGAAATGACAGTTGATTGTCCAATTGATTACAGAAGCTATACCATTGACAATGGGTTATAAGAACATTGACTCAGTATTTAGGAATATTAGTCCTGCTTTTTGTGACATACCCCCCTTTCCCCCTGGTCAATTTTCACTGGCTGCAGTGCTAACAATTAAATAGTTTAGGCCTACTAGACTTGCTTCCGTTTCCTCTGTTACAATCTCGGTAAGAATTCCCTAAGAATTTCTGGATGACGTCTTGACAAATAGAGTACGCTAAGACAGGCTAATGGGCACGTGAGTGTTGGAGAGCCTTCCTTAAGACTATTCTGCTCCCATGGGAAGGAGAATGGCCCAGAGGAATGCAAATAAATGTTTTCACTGCCCCAGCTACTCATGTCATCATCACTCTACTCTGCCTCAGATGCCCCCTCCCCGCTAACCATATTACATAATCACCCTGTTATTAACTAATAATAACACTACTACATGGAATATCAAATGTCACTGAAAAAAAATATATATAGATACATAAACGTAAGTGTAGTTTGTACAATACAGTTAGAGCAGAGCAATTTTGGCATCGAACTCAAACACATTTTGAAATGCAACATAAAAAAACATTCAACTGAATTAATAAATATTTCAATAAATAAACATACATTTAAACAGAACATAATCCAACATACGCATAACGCAAACATTAACATTGTGGTTGTCATTCAAAATAAAGCTTTGAGTAAACTGACCTTGTGGGTTGTCTCTGACACCATTGGTTTGCAGTGGCTCTGCTACTAGGCTATCTAGCCCTGATGAGCTGTTGTATTTGTATCTTATTATAAGTTTCATACATTTAACTTCTACAAAGTTTCTACGCTTTTGCTTAATTAAAAATATATATTTTACCTCTTGAACCAGTGCCCACTTTTCTTTGGCAAATCATCCATATTGGGGTCCCTGAGAGGTAAGAGATAGCTTTTTTTCTCCTGGGAGGAGAGGTGATTTTTTTGGTGTGTTCATAATCAGGGCGACTGCAGGTGTTATGCAGCATTCAGTTAGTTAGCCCCATTCACAGCCAGTTAGCTTGTAATGGTTTGATTCATGTTTGTGAGCAGACATTACGTAGGATTGCAGCATGCTACTGTTGCTTACATCAATGATGCTCAAATCCATAAAAATCAAAAAGCTAGTACTAACATCTACAATTAAGTATTTAACTCTTTTACATATGCAATCCACAAAAGTGCCCTCTTAAGATTTTAGTTTAGATATAAATCATGTAAACATCAACAGCATTCAGATTACAGCAGTATTATATACTCTGAGTGTTCCAAAACATTAAGAACATTGTTCTTTCCATGACAGACTGACCAGGTGAAAGCTATGATCCCTTATTGATGTCACTTGTTAAATCCACTTCAATCAGTGTAGATGAAGAGGAGGAGAGGTTAAAGAAGGAGTTTTAAGCCTTGAGACAATTGAGACATGGATTGTGTGTGTGCCATTCAGAGGGTGAATGGGCAAGACAAAATATTGAAGTGCCTTTGAACAGGGTATGGTAGTAGGTGCCAGGTGCACCGGTTTGAGTGTGTCAAGAACTGCAACGCTGCTGGGTTTTTCACGCTCAACAGTTTGCTTGTGTATCAAGAATGGTCCATCCAGCCAAATTGACACAACTGTGGGAAGCATTTCGACACCTTGTAGAGTCCATGGCCCAACGAATTGAGGCTGTTCTGAAAAAAGGGGGTCCTACTCAATATTCCTAATGGTTTGTACACACACACACACACACACACACACCCTGTGTGCCCTGTTCCTCCTCTCCCTCGTATACATTCTCTATCCAGGCGCATCTAAACATTTCCATACATACTCCATCTCCCAATAAACACAAATTCTTTACTCCCCTGCCCTATAAACACACAAGCACGTGATTGTGTGAAATACAACCTCAGTCAAACAATTTTGTGAAATAACTCTAACAAACCAGACTCGGTCTACAAACCAGACTCGGTCTAACAAACCAGACTCGGTCTAACAAACCAGACTCGGTCTAACAAACCAGACTCGGTCTAACAAACCAGACTCCGTGGTACTGAATGAGCTTTAGAGACGAGCGGATATCAAGGGTAACTCAATATCGAGGTCTACTGTGTAGTCCGCTACCCTGACCTAATCTCTGCCTTAATTTGATGCAGTTCTTGGAAAATGGTAAATAAAGCCTTGAGTTTATCTTTCATCATTATAGCTTTAGAAACCAGGGATTTTCCAGAGTGGCCATTCACATAATGGACTTTTATAAGCAGTAGTGGTAAGATGCAATACATTATTTGTGATCTAAGCAAAAGTCCAGCTTGACACAATCCACATGAGGAGAAGGGGTGACATTGTTGCCTTAATCTAATCAGTAGAGACCCACAATGCAGAACATTTAAATCTAAAACACAGTCATTTAAATCTACTCCAGAGAGTGCTTCAACCTTGTTAGATAGCATCCATTTACAGTACATCAACTCATGCATGGACACATACAACACTGCTGTCACACTTTTAAATGTTGCTTTTGCAGCCATTTCCCTGACAACAACATCACATATTTTATATATATTTATATTTTAGTCATTTAGCAGACGCTCTTATCCAGAGCGACTTACAGGAGCAAGTAGGGTTAAGTGCCTTGCTCAAGGGCACATCGACAGATTTTTCACCTAGTCGGCTCGGGGATTAGAACCAGCGACCTTTCGGTTACTGGCACAACGCTCTTAACCACTAAGCTACCTGCCGCTACACATCAGGTGATGTGTCAAATACATGTAATTAAAACAGTAACAAATTAACCAATTATAACATATTTGAGAGAACACAAGAGAGGGACATACAGACAGACACACAGAAATGGAGAGAGAGAGACCGAGACATGCAGACAGTGAATGGGTAAATATGACAAATAACATTCTCTCTTCGGCATGTGTAGTTCCCCTATATCAAATGTCATGCCTGTACACTATCCCTACACTAAAATAGTCCAATAAAATAACATCAGCTATAACTTGTAAGGTCATGTAGCTGCATCAACAACAGTGATCCCCATGAACCAGCCATGTAATCCTCTAATCCCCAACACTGAACTGAAAGCAGACAGAACGGATCCTCCATGCAGCCAGCCCCAGCCCCACACCCTGCCTACAGCCCCACACCATGCAGCCAAATACTGTGCCTGTCTATGGTACCTACCTTCCAGGGAGGAAATGTGTGTCCTCAGATAAACTCATGGAGGCCAGGTGGAGAGCCAGGAATGTATTAACAGACACATTCACTCATACATACATACACACACAGACAGACAGTACATTTGCCTGCACACATTTCCTCTGAGATGCAGTGGGTCATTGTAGTGCAGCCAGGAAGAAAAGGCCAGGGTGATGCTAATGTACCAGAGAACGAGAGAGAGAAATCAGCATAACACTGACTGGGAGGCTCTGAGTGTCACTGACGAATCAAAGTACCACCGTCCCCCTACCCCTCTCTCTCCTCCTCCTTCTCTCTCCCCACTACCCTTCTCTCTCCCCCATAAACCTCTCTCTCTCCCTCCAACCCCCCATCTCTCTCTCTCGCTCTCATTGTTACTGACTCTCTCTACCTCTTTCTTTCTCTGACTCTCCCTCCTCTCACACACAGCCTTTCCTTGTTTTTAAGCACCACAAAATGCCACCATCAGACAGATGCTAACATTCAGCAATCAGTAAATACCTATTTTAAATGCATGCTTGACATTAACATCTGCAGAAATGAATTAACAATAATGAAACAAGTTATATACCACTGTTTGTTACTTGACCATACACAATTGCCAAACACTAATATCTCATGTCAGTGGCTCAAATCTCAAACATAACTGAACACAGGACAACTAACTAGTCACTGAACAGATGCATAACAGTAGCTACTTCTGCTTGATATCGATCAATAGCATCACCATACAGCAAACCATTACGAAATGCCTTTCTATTGTAATGCTATTCTTTAATTTATAAGACAGTCACGGGACCAGGATGGAGGTGGTCATACAGTGAGGGAAAAAAGTATTTGATCCCCTGATGATTTTGTACTTTTGCCCACTGACAAAGAAATGAGCAGTCTATAATTTTAATGGTAGGTTTATTTGAACAGTGAGAGACAGAATTACAACAACAAAATCCAGAGAAACGCATGTCAAAAATGTTATAAATTGATTTGCATTTTAATGAGGGAAATAAGTATTTGACCCCCTCTCAATCAGAAAGGTTTCTGGCTCCCAGGTGTCTTTTATACAGGTAATGCGCTGAGATTAGGAGCACACTCTTAAAGGGAGTGCTCCTAATCTCAGTTTGTTACCTGTATAAAAGACACCTGTCCACAGAAGCAATCAATCAATCAGATTCCAAACTCTCCACCATGGCCAAGACCAAAGAGCTCTCCAAGGATGTCAGGGACAAGATTGTAGACTTACACAAGGCTGGAATGGGCTACAAGACCATCGCCAAGCAGCTTGGTGAGAAGGTGACAACAGTTGGTGCAATTATTCACAAATGGAAGAAACACAAAATAACTGTCAATCTCCCTTGGCCTGGGGCTCCATGCAAGATCTCACCTCGTGGAGTTGCAATGATCATGAGAACGGTGAGGAATCAGCCCAGAACTACACGGGAGGATCTTGTCAATGATCTCAAGGCAGTTGGGACCATAGTCACCAAGAAAACAATTGGTAACACACTACGCCGAGAAGGACTGAAATCCTGCAGCGCCCGCAAGGTCCCCCTGCTCAAGAAAGCACATATACATGCCAGTCTGAAGTTTGCCAATGAACATCTGAATGATTCAGAGGAGAACTGGGTGAAAGTGTTGTGGTCAGATGAGACCAAAATGGAGCTCTTTGGCATCAACTCAACTCGCCGTGTTTCGAGGAGGAGGAATGCTGCCTATGACCCCAAGAACACCATCCCCACCGTCAAACATGGAGGTGGAAACATTATGCTTTGGGGGTGTTTTTCTGCTAAGGGGACAGGTCAACTTCACCGCATCAAAGGGACGATGGATGGGGCCATGTACCGTCAAATCTTGGGTGAGAACCTCCTTCCCTCAGCCAGGGCATTGAAAATGGGTTGTGGATGGGTATTCCAGCATGACAATGACCCAAAACACACGGCCAAGGCAACAAAGGAGTGGCTCAAGAAGAAGCACATTAAGGTCCTGGAGTGGCCTAGCCACTAATCCCATAGAAAATCTGTGGAGGGAGCTGAAGGTTCGAGTTGCCAAACGTCAGCCTCGAACCTTAATGACTTGGAGAAGATCTGCAAAGAGGAGTGGGACAAAATCCCTCCTGAGATGTGTGTAAACCTGGTGGCCAACTACAAGAAACGTCTGACCTCTGTGATTGCCAACAAGGGTTTTGCCACCAAGTACTAAGTCATGTTTTGCAGAGGGGTCCAATATTTATTTCCCTCATTAAAATGCAAATCAATTTATAACATTTTTGACATGTGTTTTTCTGGATTTTGTTGTTGTTATTCTGTCTCTCACTGTTCAAATAAACCTACCATTAAAATTATAGACTGATCATTTCTTTGTCAGTGGGCAAACGTACAAAATCAGCAGGGGATTAAATACTTTTTTCCCTCACTGTATACAGTACCAGTCAAAAGTTTGGACAAATATATTTTTCAAAGTAGTAGCCTTGATGACAGCTTTGCACACTCTTGGCATTCTCTCAACCAGCTTCACCTGGAATGCATTT